TAGTCTGTGCCCCTATAATTAGCTACTAGTTTATGATTTAAATGAGCCTTAATTTCTTAATTAGCTTTTAAAATGAAATTTATTAATATATCAACCCCTCTTTTTGACAAGATTTTTCTCAGGTCAATTAGCTTAGCCTGCTTGACCTTAGCTACAATGGTCAAGCTAGTAGCTATGCAATTTTCTTAATTGCAAGCAAGTTTTTTGCTACAACTATTAGATATGCTCTTAGAATCATCATTTTACTTCACAAGCTTTCAAATGTGGCTGACCACATGGGGTAAAACTATTGTAAAGCTTATGTACTTAAAAAAAAAAAAAATCAGGAGTGGATGCAGCACCGCCGGAGCATGCTTGGTTCAAGCATATATTGTATACTAAGTAAAAACAAATTATTGCCTAGAATACAGATAAATGGCCTAAAGTAAATAAATATAAAAATTGCAAAGACAACACATAAATAATATTACGTCTAACTAAAATAAACTTCCATAGTATATAAACTTAATTAATGATATCATAACTACAAAAACAAACTGCTACTTTTTCTAAGGAGAACTATCAGTACTTATTTAAATATGTGATTACCACATTTATTTTAATCTAAAGTTCCTAATGACTATTATAGGTTATATAAAAATGTAATAATAAAACTATTGCAGGCTAATTACGTATTAATAACTTCTTATGCGCTAGGAGGAGATGCAGCACCACCGGAACATGCTTGGTTGTAGATGCTCTTGATTAAGGGACTTGGGTCGTTTTCAAGTAACGAACAACATTCATCACTCAATGAGCCTTGAGGATGATTAATAAGATAATTTCCTACTTCATTCTTGCAATCAATGCCAGCAGGCAATGGAGGCAATGGTGGCAAATCGGCCAATGGTGGCAATGCCCCCCTCCATCCTTATAGTGTGTTAAGCAGTGATTTTATTAACTTAGGACTCTATAGATTGATATTATTAAGCAATACTATAAGATAAATTTTTAAGAGTTTGTATTCTATTCAAACTCTAACTCTAATATTGCATACATGCGTTTATACTAGTTATTATAGTCTTAAAATAATAAATCCCTTAGACTCCAGTATTTCATCGTATAATAGTTTTGTTTCATGTACAAAACCACATTTTTTATCCTTATAAAATATCACTCAATTGAGATAAGATATTTAGCTGTTTTTTTAGAGATCAATTAAGATATTTAGCTTTTTTTTTTTTTTTTTTTTTTTTTTTTTTTTTTTAATTAGTTAATAAAAGGAAGATAATTTATTTTTGGATAATATTTTGTCCCAACAAGTTACATAATCCATAACAATAATTATCACTAATAATTCAGAAACTGTTATAAAATAAGGAGAAAATATGAGAGATTGAGAGAGAATACATCAGTTTATTATTCCATAGAATGTGGATATATATACATACAATATAACTAGGGTTTGCTTAGATAACAATAAACCCTAGATCTAGAATATTCCGGAATGATACAGGGAGAATAATGGATATCCACAAATATTTCATAACACTCCCCCTTGGATGTCCATTATCGAAGAGTGTGCCTCATTAAAATCTTATTAGGAAAAACCCTGTGGGATAAAAAAAACCTAATGAAGGAAAAATAGTACAACATTCTTCGTAATACGCTCGAGATGCTGCCTCATTAAAAACCTTACCAGGAAAACCCAATGTGGGACAAAACCATGGTCAAGGGAAAAAGAGTGCAGCGCGTATTTTCTCCCCCTGATGAATACATAACCTGAGATCTTCTAGTGCCGCAACAATGAATCCAATATAGATGGATATCTTCTAATATGTAGTAAAATATCATTCATTGGTCTTCGATCCTCCTAAACTGAAATTGCATCTTCAAGTCTTCAAGTGAACATGTGAAGTGTCTTCATTTCACCATACATGTATTTATCTCTACATCATTCCAAACCTCTGTTTGAATAAAGTTATTTTAAAAGTTAAACTTATGCGGTTAGGCCTTCTTCTGGAGGTCGTGAATAATAGAAATCGATGATCATTATTTGATCAAACATTCATTAATAATAATTTGATGACAAAACTTGATATTATTAATGTCGTTCTTTAATCTCATCTGAATTATAATATAACACATGTAATTAGATACTCTAATCATGGTTCTTCTGGACCATAAGAAAACATTCTCACGCATAAGTATTCCATTGATATTCCTTAGACGTTTCATAATTGACACGATAGCTCTCTTGCAAATACAAAAGCAAATCTCACTAACTTTCATATGCTCAAACTTCAGGTTGAGAAGTCAATGATGTAGTCACATAGACTTTTCAAGAGTTTGATAATAATTGCAATATTCAAGATATAAAGTTTGTAGGGCTATAAATACGTTGCATATATGTTCTTCGGGAACTTCTCTTACATGATTCATAAATAATATTAGATCAACGTCATATTTAATTTCATCATAATTATAAGCCCGTTGGAATATAAATATGTCTTTCTAATTTTCCATCAAAGTTGTAAATATGCCTTACTATACTTTGAATGAACATGCACATACACCAAAAATATTGTATAGAAACTAATGCATGCAATATGAGATATATAAAGCATGATAACATATTAAGCAAAATATACAATAAGTAATGCATCTAACAACTACTAACATATGCAATGAACAATCCGTTAACCTATGAATTATACATGCATATAAACATGCATAGGACTCAAAATAATGCAAGACACTGTACAGTGTGGATTTAAAAATCCATATTACATTGGACTTCTAGTCCATGATAAACTTTTGATCATTATCATTATGTCGACATCAAAATGGACATATATATTTCAGATCCCTTATTCACTAGTCCATTCTATCATACATATGCATATTATTTATCGGTACCCTTGTATACCGGTATCATAATATTCCTTTAACGTACATTTCGCATGCTATTTTACTATGATATCTGAATACTTTTCTTATTGGTACCATCATAACTTCCTTACATCATAGGCCATATATTGTAATAATTCAGATATCTATACCACTTTTAGGGTATTTCATACACTATGGTATTTATATACTATTACGCTATTAGTGTTAACTGCACTATCTTGCCATATATCATATCCATTAAAGATATTTTTATTTTGGAATCGATCATACAACCTACACTTCAGGTGTAGTGATTCAAGTATAATTGGCAAGATTTTATCTCAATGTATACACATAATATGACCAAAAAGTATCTTCAACGCTATGCAACATGAGTCATAACTAAATACAAATCAAATCATAAATGTGCAACATATCTTGATAATATATAGACAAAAGTTGGCATATAACTTTTCAAACTACCTTATCGGGATCATCAATTATATTTTCCGATTTTTCCAACTTTTGCTAATTCTTCTCCCCCTAAGTTGGTAAAATATCTCATTTATAGGGGCGTCTAATTCTATACCAACTTAGTATACAAATTGAAATTCTTTTCATCGGGAGGATCACAATCAAAATAATTATCTCAGAAGATTTGTATTAAACAAGTTTTATCTCTTCTAGAGAACAATTTCAATGAAGAATCATTTCTTCATTAGCTTTACACTGCATGTGTATTTATTGTTACACTTTCTATAATATGTTCTCTTCTGGAGATCAATGTCAATGGGGAGACATGTGTCGTGCAGTTGTACGTTTTTCTTTCTTTTCCAACTTCTTATGTGCTGACATATAATAGCCCCAATCAAAAGAATTATTATACAAATATAAACTTGATTGTAATTCTACTAGGTGATGATCTTCTAGATCACTAGAAACCTTGATAGTATGATACTAATTAAATATTCAGAATTTTCTCATACAACTTGTATTTGGTGAGCTTCTGGTCACCAACATGTGATAACATATAAGTTATTTTGGTGAACTTCTAGTCACCTATTATTCGTATGAAAATTTATTCAAAACGAATATATTATCTCTTGAAATTTTCTTCAACACAAATCATTAAAAATCGCAATCCAAATATAGTTCAATCTCAATGTTATGTCTTGTCATTCAATTCACTTCATATATCTAACATTGAGAGAGTGTCAGCACATTATCAAATGAAACTTCAGGTTTCTATAACGGGTATTTATTGAACCCGGATGGCCTAATTTAATTATCACATCCAATCATTTATCTAAATTTATATTACGGTTAGTTTTCCAGGTGATCACTTTATGAGACATAATATGATGTGATATTAGAACACCAAAATTTTATACAAATCTGCTAGAGCTTTGACTATAATCTTGATACATGCTAAGCTTGTTGGATAATTCTATACTCTTCTAGAGTACTCTATATAATCATGGTACATATCCATTTTACTAAATATAATCTCTTATAAAGGTCTATCAAAACGTATTACTTCCTCAAATTTACTATTGTCAATAATTGCTCTTTTCCTGTTTGAATATTCTTATCTTTGGAATCTATTGGGCTCGGCTACGGATACCACGCTTCAGGCTTGCTTTAGGTTCATTAGCAACTTATAAAGGTATATAGCTAATGACATCTATTCATATCCATCTTCAGGATGGTATCATATTGAAATATATTAATTAACATGTGACCACTTTTATTAAATAAAACATTAATATTTAAGTTAATGTATGTACCAAACTGACCATCAACATATTTTATTATTTATGTGCAAGGATTACATAAAATAATGATATAAATACTATCTCCCCCTAATCCTTGCATGTGGGGGCATTAAATTAATCCAACTACCTTTAAATCTCTTGCACCTTTTAAGTCACAAATTCTTTTATCAATGTATGTATAGCAAAGTAAAATAATTCTTATAAGACTCATATTCGTTCCTCTTGCCCAATTATATGAACCTTTATACTAAAAATTCTCAAATTAATATTCTAATAGAATTAAAGGAACTAAAATAAGATTCACTAAACCAAATAACTTAAATTAATAAATGACTGATAATAATAATAATGAAATATCCAAAAACAAATGTCCCATAAAGCATAAAATCACAGTACTACGATAAAATTCTAAAATAAATGCAAGCTAATTAATAGTTTTTATTCGCCAATGGATCATAATTTATTCAATTATTTTCTTTAGAATTAGGAAAGAAATCAGCTGCTTCCAGGTGAGTTTTATCACCGTAATCAAAATCACCTTTGCCATCCTCGTACACCAAATTTGTTTCTACTTTCTTTCCTTTCTGTTTGATTGATTGTTGGTAAAGGTCTACTAGATGTTTTGGTGTGCGACACACACGAGACCAATGGCCTTTTCCTCCACAACGGTAGCATATGTTTTCATATTTATCCTTCTTATTCTTATTTCCTTCTTTATTGTCCCACTTCTGGTGAGAGTATGAGTTTCTAAAATGACCACCTCGACCACGATCATGTCCACGTCCGCGGCCGCGACCACGACCTCGTCCACGACCTCGACCACGACTGCTGGCGTGATCTCTAGCCTTTTTCTCTTTCCCACTATGGGATGTCGCATTCGCTTCAGGGAATGGAGTAGAGCCAGTTGGGCGTGATTCATGATTTTTCATTAATAGTTCATTATTTTTCTCGGCCACAAGGAGACAAGATATCAATTCAGAATATTTTGTAAAACTCTCGTCTGCAGGACAACATTGTTTGCATGAAAAGTAGAGTATGTTTTTTCTAACATTTCTGCATCCGTGATTTTCTCTCCACATAATTTCAATTGTGATGTAATTCTAAACATGGCTGAGTTGTATTCACACACAGACTTAAAGTCTTGTAATCTTAAATGTAACCAGTCATAACGAGCCTTTGGTAATATCACAGTTTTCTGGTGGTCATACTTGTCCTTTAGATTACTCCAAAGGACGTGTGGGTCTTTAATAGTCAAATATTCAGTCTTAAGGCCTTCATGAAGGTGATGGCGAAGGAATATCATAGCTTTAGCCTTATCTTGGCTTGTTGCAGTATTGTTTTCTTTAATAGTATCACCAAGTCCCTTTGCATCTAAGTGTATTTCAGCATCTAACACCCAAGACAAATAGTTGTTTCCAGTAATATCAAGAGCAACAAATTCGAGTTTTGCAAGGTTTGACATGATTCACTGATATATAAAACAATATTATAAATTAGGAACTAAGATGGTATAATAAATATATATACTCCAAGTTTCAATTAAGATAACTAATTTCAAGTAAGTAATTATAACAAGATTTGCGTATTGAACTTTGAGAAGGTTACTGTTCATGAGACCATAATTAAGTCTACTAATCAATTATCATAACAAAACATGAACCTTAATTTACCATAATAAACACAAACCTTAAACAAAAAAAAAAAAAAAAAAAACAAAAAAACAAAAACGTTATCTTGGGACAAGTAAGTTGTGGAAATACGTATGTAATCGGATTATAAAAGTAATGTATCAATAAGGTCTTTGCACGCAATGATTGATTCAAAGCATTTCAATGACAAGCTTGCTTATTAATTAATACACTGTAAAGATACATCCACTTCTCAAAAATTTCTATAAAAAAATTCTGTTAACCGTATTATTCTCGATAATGTATAAAAACTCCCAATAAAACATATAATATTTTCTCATTACTAATATCCCGCAAATATTAGACCGATCAATCCAAAAGAAGCAGTAACAATCAACAAAGAAAACGATCAAAAACCCCAAAATCATCAAACCAATTGAATGGATTAAACAGGATCCTGATCCCAATCACAAATTATGTAAGGCGATTAACGCAAAACCAGCGACATAGGATAAGCGAAGAAAGACAAAAGCAGAAGACGAAGCAAAATACAGAGCATTAATGATTAAAACTTCTTGGATATAATAAATTCTTGGATGAGTACCATATTATAACAAAAAAAATTAATGATTAAAACTTCGTTATCAATTCTTTACATATTCCACCTCAGATAAACTATAATCAATCAACCACTTGTTTCTTAGCTCGAATTTCCGGACTAAAACTAACACAGTATGCCAAGAACAACATTTTACTCTAGTTGAACAATTAAAATAACGATTTCACACATGAAACAACAACAATTAAAGAGCAACTAACAACATTAAGTGGGTGTTAAAATCAAAAGGGCAACATCATAAATTTAAAACAAACAAATTAAACAGCAGAGAACAGGTAATGCTAGAAATTGCTTAAAATCAAAACTTAATATTGTCGAACTCTGACCTCAGATAAACCCAAAAACTAATCGGTTGAGCACAGAGAACGGAGCACGGAGGCCACGACCTGATTACGCGTCACGCCGTCACGGACTGCGGGATTGTTAGTCTATGAGTGAAAGTGAGTTAGGGTGTCGAAGGAGAGGAGAGTTGTTTTGGAGTTTGGGTAGCCTTGAGAAGCAGTAATGCTCTTGATCATATGAATCAATAATATTGTTTCAGATCCAAGAGCAATGGTGCTGATAACGTGTTATAAAATAAGGAGAAAATATGAGAGATTGAGAAAGAATAGATCAGTTTATTATTCCATAGAATGTGGATATATATACATACAATATAAGTAGGGTTTGCTTAGATAACAATAAACCCTAGATCTAGAATATTTCGGAATGATACAGGGAGGATAATGGATAACCACAAATATTTCATAACAGAAACAATAATGCCAAAATTTAGGAAAGAATAGAACTTGAGCTACAAGAAATACCAAAAACTAATTCAATCCTTAAAATCCAAGGAAATTACACCGACTAAAAGCCCTTATAGGCTTATATAAACCCCCTCACTTTCATTACTTTTCTCCACAATTTAATTTTCATTCACTCAATTTCTCTCCTTAAACTCTTCTATTATTATTATTATTCAAGTAGTGTCTACTATTTTCAACCGTCACCTACTGGTTGTTTTTTTCGAGTTGAGTACAGCAGTAACGCGTCAAGGATGGTATTTAAGACTTAGGATTAAAGAGTTGTCCTCGATTTATAATTAATTGGATTATGTACGTTAGGTGATATTGTAACAATTTATTTCCTTTTATTATGTTACGTATGTAATACTATTATATATGATTCAAGATCGATAGATGTGATCTTAATCTTTTATGTTCGTTTGATTATGAAAATTCATAAATATAAATATATGTTTGATTTTCTTTAGAACAAGTTCACGTGGAGTTGTTAATAAATAATCGTAACTTTTATTGGGTTTTCTCTATAATTTTTATGCATATCACTGTAAAAAAAAAAAAAAAATAATAATAATAATAATAATAAAAAAATTTAATTTGTGCTAGTTTGGTTATCTTGAAATACAATTTGTGCTAGTTACTCCGTATTATAATTTGAAAAGTAATTAATGCATCATTTTATTGGTAATCTAGCTCAATTGAATAGTTCCGTCTTCAGCTTATATGAACTAAGTAAATTTTAATTTGTGTGTAACTTAAACTTTGTATATGATACGGAGTAATTTCTCTTTCTTTTTAATAATTATATATTCTACCCTTATTTAAAATTATTTTTTTCTCTCTGGCTTAATTTTTTGACATTGAAGTAAAACTTGGTTTTATAAAAAAAAAAAAAAAAATTACAAAAAACAAAAAAAAAAAAAAAAAAAAAAAAAAAAACGGTGATGATAAATATGAAGTTGGTATCCATTGACACAGGTAAGTTTGTTGACTATGCACACTTGTTTTCTTTTAAATAAGTGAACTGTTATTCGTCGTTCCCAATGTACAGGGTGACGCTCCCATTTTAGGAGGAAATGACCTTTTTGCCCTTATGTGAATTTGGCCTATATATGGCTCCACCACATTGTCACTTGGCATAAAAGAATCCCGAGCCCACCACTTGGATTTAAAAAATCACGCACCCCCAAAAATCCCGAGCTCACCACCAAAAATCTTAAACTGTTTACCGGAAAAAAATAAGCACGATGTAGCGACTGGTCTTGGACGATGAACGAAGGCGACGATCGTACGTTGGAGGCTTCGTCAGAAGAATTTGTATGTCGCTGAAATATTTTTTTTTTTTGTGAAGTGGAATCCGCCCAATTTTTCCGGAAATATTAAGGAGGATCCGCCTGAAATTTTCGGATCTCCTGTGGAGGATCAGGAAATTTCAGGCGGATCCTCCTTCATTATTCCGGAAAAATTGGGCGGATGTCCTTTTTTTTTTTTTTGCTTATTGTACGTTATTATTATTATTATTATTATTATTATTGTTATTATTACTCTTATTATTACTCTTATTATTACTATTATTATTATTGTTATTGTTATTATTGTTATTATTGTTATTGTTATTATTGTTATTGTTATTGTTATTGTTATTGTTATTGTTATTATTATTATTATTATTATTATTATTATTATTATTATCATTATCATTATCATTATTATTATTATTATTATTATATTGTTATTGTTATTATTATTATTATTATTATTATTATTATTATTATTATTGTTATTGTTATTACTATTACTATTATTATTATTCTTATTATTAATATTATTATTATATTATTAGTATTATTATTGTTATTATTAATATTATTCTTAAAATACTAAGCTTGGCGTGTTTTTGTGTTTGTCATGTATGTTTATAGGATTTGGAGGTTGAAGGAGGCAGTGACGTTGTGAATTACAGTGCAAATTTTTTGACAGACACGGTTTTCGAACGTTTGAGGATGTAGTTAAATGGGCGGATGCTGTTGCCATAAATCTGGGATTTATTCTGGTGAAATCGTCTTTCAACAAAACAGGAGTAAGCCGAGAGATCTTGAGAACGCAATTCGAAAGGACACAAAAACCAAAGCCAATGGTTGTCCTTTCTACATCAAGATATACTACGAGTTCATCACCGATAGTTGGATTATCCAGGCGAAAAATGATGAAACTGGGACCCACAACCATCCAATGATTGCGTATCCAGAGGGGCATCGTAAAATTAGTGGGTTGAGCCCGGATGCGAAGCAGGTTGTGCGTGACATAACGAAGTCTAAGGTTGCACCGCGTAACATCATGGCGACTATTGTCGAGCCGTTTCCTGATGATCATCCAAACATCAGACACATCTACAACTGCCGGAATGACCTGAGATCGGAGATGTCTGACGGGAAAGGAGTTCTTCTGCAGTTTCTACATTTGGCGAGACAGAGTCAGTATCTTTACTGGGTCATGTCTGATGATGATGGCGTTTTAAAGCACACCTTTATGGCGCACCCAGTCACGGTAGAAATCTTTCGGACGTACCCATATGTGATTGGTATGGATTCCACTTACAAGACCAATCGATACGAGATGCCGTTCTTTGAGATAGTTGGTGTGACACCGACAAATCAGAATTTCCTCGTTGCTTACGTGTTCATGCGCAACGAGTGCACGGCAAGCTATCGATGGGTTTTGCAGAGATTGAGAGACTTGATTGGGTATAATAAGGAACCAACGGTTTTCTTGTCAGACCGTGAGCTTGGGCTATGTGCGGCCTTGAGGGAAGTGTTTCCAGGGACCTCGCACTTACTTTGTCGATGGCACATTAAAAAAGATGTGGAGGCTCGGGTCACTGCTATGTTCAAAAACAAGAAGATCGGTGCGCAATTCAAAAATGGGAAATGGAAACGTATCATGGATGCTGCAACCGAGGAGGATTATGATGCGACTGTAGATACAATGAAAGATCGGTGGGCAAGTTATCCAGCGGTGATAAAATATGTTGAGAGAACATGGATTTGTCATAAAACGAAATTTGTGACATTTTGGACAAACCAAGTTCTTCATCTAGGCAACACCAGCACTTGCAGAGTTGAGAGCCAACATTCGGCCGTGAAGATGTGGTTTGAATCCTCGACAGGTTTGTTGTTTGGATGTTGTAGTTCATGTAAATCATAACGGTTTTTTTGTAATGGGCAGGTTCTTTGGATACCGTATGGGCCCGAGTTCATTGCCACATTGGTAATCAGATCATCGCAATTCGTAACGGTTTGGAGGCTTCTAGGTTGAAGATAGGTCAGAAGTACCGACAATTGCCACCGTCACGTATTAACAGCAAGGTGTCTCAGCATTGTTTGAAGGTTCTCGATGACGAGACGAAAAGGATGAGGGAGTTGAGCTATCAGGTGTATGAGCGATGTGGATGTGCAATGCGTGTGACCCACGGTTTGCCCTGTGCTTGCCAGATACATGACTCTCTAGCTGCAGGGATAGGCTTGTATATCAGGCAAATTCACCCGTTTTGGAAGACCTTGGTTATTGGTAATGGTGATGATGGACCGGTGTTCGGTAATGACTCGGTCGAGGATGCCGCACATTTTCGTTCTCTAATGGATGAGGTAATCGGTAGTGATCCTGCTGTTCTTCGAAACGTATCTTGCATCATTGAAGAAGAACTGCATCCGGATCATTCTGACCTCGGAGATCCTGCTGTAAACCACCAGGTTTGTGGTCGACGAAGAAACAATGATACAAGACATGATCCTTGTTATTTTGAACATGTGAACCGCCAGAACACTGCACGTGGTGCACGCCAAACAGGTAAGATTGACTATTGTGATTTTCACGTATTTCATTATTTACTGTACTAATAACTGAACCCTAAATTTGTGCAGAAGATCCATGTGACATTAGCCAAAGCCGTTATCGACACATGCTTCCAGAACCGATGTTGCCTTACATTACAGGATGGAAGGATGTCATCGGCGATGGTAACTGCGGCTTTCGTTGTATGGCCGAGTTCTTCTTCGGTGATCAAGGACGATGGTATGACGCTCAAGAAACAATAGCAAACGAGGTCCTTGGATATCCAGCCCTGTACGAGAGGATTTAAGGCCTTGGAAGACTTGGGATCAATGTGAAGCGAAAAAGATGGGACGGTGGGGCAATTGATTCCCGTCATTGGATGGCTGCAATTCAAGATTTATTTCCTATTGCTAATTGGTTCAACGCAATGGTTATTATTCTTGGTGTTGGCACCGTACCAACCTTCTACTACCCATGCCTCACAATTTTGCTGTTGCAGGCACGAAGGGGGGTCACTGCACCTGAACGAGAGTTTGTGATCGCTATAGTTGGGGGCTCACATTTTATCTGTATTGACCTTGCACCAGATTCACCTCTTCCCCCGATTGCAGGTTGGTGGACCGAGAACCACGAGCAAAGTGTTGACAGTTGGGATCAGCGTTATGCAGCTAGAAGGAACATGTGGGATGCGTTAATTAAATAATGAATGCATTTATGTACATTCATTTATTGTGAACAGTTGTAGATATGTAAAGTGTAAATAAAAATTCTGAATTAAACAAAGTTTCAACTAAAACCACACAAAAAAATAGTCCAATTCTTAAAATACATGCCGAATGTAGAGTAAATAAACGAAATGCGTCCAACTAAAAAAAAAAAAACTAATAAACAGGGAAGTCACAACCTCATCATCGCCCTCCAATCAGCTCGTAGTGCCTCAGCCATTGCTCTCGTATCACGCGACAAGCTCGGATACTCCTCCAGTGTCCTGTTGATAACCTTCATGGACCGACCCATCCACTGCAATAAAAAAAACAACATATTAAACAAATTAGATGTATTTGTAGTGATAATTATAGTACCAAAAAACACAAGTACTTACGTAATCCGTGTTAGTTCTCTCTAGCAATGCGCGACTCCCATGTGATGACGCAACTGGAGAAACACGAGGATGAGAAAATCGGTACAGCCACTGCATGTAACTAGGACCGACCGTAGGAGCACCACCACCAAGCCTGCTGAGGGGACCTAACACCACACTAAAAGACGCACCAGGGACAAACCGAGTCCACATCACAAATGTCATCTCTGGCGGAAAGTCTACTCGATACATCTTCAAGTTCGTCGGTCTCTTCGCCTTTTCAGGCCTGATGATGGCTTGTGGAATGCCCTGGACGTATCCAAGTTGTCGAACCACTCGATTAGGCATATATGGCTCAATGATGCAACGGTACTGGATGCAGCCAATGAATAGAGTAGCAGGCACGCGCCGTGCTGGATCAACTCTGTACGGTAGCTAGTTCACCTCATTGTCAGTTAGATGATCCAACCTAGCACGAAAAGCGAGGAGGCGCTCCATGCTCTTGTTGGGGCACCCTGATCCGACATCCCAAGCAGACGCACGAGGAAAAATACGTAAGCTCTTTGGTCAAGGTCCCCTGCTGAGGCCGAAAACAGGGAAAGTACTCGTAGATCCACACCTGCAGAAGCGTAAGACAACCAGCGATAAAATCAGCATCTTTTCGAGATACTGTACCCAACTGCCGATACATATATGCTAGCACAGCAGAACCCTAGGAGTACTCACTAATCTGAACATCCTCAACAAAAAGCTCGTTCAGGAAGGAAGGATGAGTACGGTTGCCACTCTTGTCCAAAAACAGACATCCGCCAAGTACTAACCACAAGTACGCCCTTTAATGGACACTGAAGGGCCTCTGCGCCTCCAAGGTCGGCTCCATTATCATCTCAGTGAGCACCCCACTACCCTGCCACACGGTTTTAGTACCGCACTTCTCATTCAGCTCTTCCGCAGTCATATCCATGGTAATCGAGCACGCGTCCCGTAAAACGTCCGTGCTAGGGGTAGTGGAAACCATGGAACCATCGACACGAAGCCCTAGAATATGATACACATCATGCAGCATGATCGTGATCTCCCCAAATGGCATGTGAAACGTGTTTGTGTCTGGCTGCCATCTCTCAACAAAAGCAGAAATCAGGGGCTAGTCAAATCGCCGAAACATGATCCCGGGTAAGTGAGATAGACCACTGCTATCAATCAATTCCAGGTGCTCCTGCGGAAGACGAGCGCGCTAGTTACCTAATTCAGTACAAAACTGTGTCCTGCTCAAACACCGCAGAACATTTCGCTCCTGCCCACCCCATAAATATACAGCCACGTGACCCCCAAAACTAGGAATAACAGTACCATCCTCAGGCCCACCTGGAATCGGCTCCTGTACTACCCACGTCTCTGATGAGCTGGTAGAAGATTGGCCTGGCTCACTACTGCCAACAAATCCCCCATGCTGAGCCCTATACACGGTACGATAATCCTGAGGGTCGTACTCTGAATCTCGACTAGCATGACTAGCTCGCTCGTCGTCCTCATCGTCAGATGAAGGCACTCTACCCGACGAGTACATGGGAGCGCTCCTATCTGACTGATGCTCCCCCGACCAAGTACCAGCAGACCCGTACTGCTGCTCATGATGAAACGGTGCCTCCGAAGGTCCTGCACCACCTAACTCCCTCCTAACTGATGCATTCAAACGTCTTGATCTTGCATGTCGAGCGCCCGAACCCTCAATCTGCATTAAATAAGTACAAAATCAGATTTCATTAATCCTTACACACACAACTGTGATATCAAACTTGAATCACTAATATTCAAATTCAAAAATATCATTTCAAAACTATAATAAACCAAATCAAATAAACAATAATAACAACATTACCAAGGATCAATAATAACTAATAATAATTTGACAACAATAATAATAAACCAAATCAAAACAATAATAAACCACAAAATCGACAACATTACAACACAACAACAACAATAATAACAACAATGGTAATAACAACAACAACAATAATTTCAATCCATTTTTTTATCAAATTTTAATCACGAAAAAATTACATAACAACAATACATAACAATAACAACAAGAACAATATAACTATATTAGTAAAAAAAAAAAACCATATCAATAATCACGAGGAAAAAAATTCCGAAATTAATAAAAACCATAATACATAACAATTACACATAACAATAACAATAAAAACAATTAAAATTATATTACTCAAAAAAAATTACATATCAATAATCACGTGGAAAAAAAAATTCCGAAATTAATAAAAAACATATACATAACAATAACAATAAAATTATATTACTCAAAAATAATAAAAAAAAATACTAATCATTGGAAAAAAAAATATCGACCAAAAAAAAAATTTTAAGAAAACCCAGACTTCCGCCTGTAAAATCCGGAAGTCTGGGGAAACTTCCGGAAACTTCAGGCGGAAGTGACGAAACTTTTTTTTTTTTCAAAATCAGAAACAATACAACAACAACCAACCTGCTCACCGCCACTAACGCCGCCCCACGACCACCGTATGTCAGCCTAATGCGTCGCCGGTCCGCCATACCCGGATTCAACCTTTGATTGGTGTTCGTTTTTCTTTGTTTGATTTTCAAAGTTTGGGTTTTTTTTGAAAAAAAAATTCTGATTTTTTTTTTTTAATTTCTGACTTTTTTTTTATTTTACAATTTCTGACTTTTTTTTTAAGAGAGAGAGTGTGTGGGTTGTGAAATGACTTGTGAGTCTTGGAAGTGAGATTCCCGAGTATTTATATACGAGGGGCAAATTAGGAAATTCAAGTAAAAAATGCGAGCGTTACCTTGTAATTTGCGAACGACGTTTAACAACACCCTTAAACAATAAATAGTGTGGGGCTCGGGCAGTGCCCCGAGTTTTATTCAAATACAAAATGAAAAAATTACCTTAACTTTAAATTATATTTTGAAAACAGTATATTAAGTTTAAAATTAATTCAAAAATTTGAAAAAAAAATATGGGAATTGAAAGAGAGATGTAGTATACATGTATATATTACTGTTTCAACACCAAGACTGGACTCCGGCGCCTGTACCTGCAAAACAACGGAGACTTCGGTGGGTGGGAGCTCCACCTTCGACGATCAAGTTAGAACGTGTTCGGATGTATAAAGTGCGGAATGTAAATAAGATCAGGCTCCTCTTAGGAGAGGAGTGATCATACGGCTGCCTCAGACAACCTCAATATCTGAGTATATACTCTCGTAATTTGTGTGGATTGAATTCTTCCCCGCAGCTGATGTAAATGATCAGCATTTATAGTACTTTGGGACAGGTGCCCTTTTAGGTTTTTTAACCTAAGTAGATGGGCTACCCACTGTTTTACGGTTTCCAGCTAGGGTTATGAGCTTAAAGCCCGTTTTTCCCCTTTGAATGACATGTGTCATGCTCTAATTGGCTCATTGAGCGCTGAGCTTAGGGACACATGTCGCAGTGGCATTGGTCCATATGTCAAGGGTATTTTTACCCTAAACATTAGCCCCTCTGAAGGAATAATCTCTCTTTTAAGAGCGATTGTTCCTTTCGAATGTAAGACCCTTTAAGCCTCTTTGGTCGGCATTTGTCTAGTTCAATAAAAGAGGGATTTGATTAACTTGGAAAATTTTGATACCTTGAATGGTATGACATTTTCTAAGTTAATCAATCATAATAATGATTGCCGCTAAACTAGACAGATGTCGACCCTTATTACTTTTAGCCCCACTATGGTGATAGCCCCAAATCAGACGGACTGTGGGCCATCGAGCAGGTGGGTAAGCGTTCAATATTATTCGGCCATTGGCCTCTTTAGGTTGTTATTTATAGGAACAACGCTTAGCTGCTAAGGTTTTGGACTTAACTTATTTTTACAATTTAGCTGCTAAGTCTTAGACTTAGCTTGTATCCTCAAATTTAGCCGATTGTGTTGCCCCTGCGCAACAGTAGTCGGTATCTGACTCAGATATTATAGATTAACGCTTGTTTTTAGAACAGTCGATAGTCTTTGTTATCTTTGTCTCATTTGATCAATTCAAACGACTGCGAGCTTGTCTTTTTTGACAGTTGGTTGGGCCGTTTGTTTTTAGCTTATAGAGCAATATGCCACCCAAATGGGAGATGCTCTCTGAATTCACCCAAATGGATGTCTTCGGACGCCTTCTCATGTTGGAGCAGACATATTGTATTTAAAAAATCATCCAGCCATAGGCCTCATTTTGATCATCCGGCCATAGGCCTCATTAGGTTGTTCTAAAAGGAACAACACATAGCTGCTAAGATTTTGGATTTAGCTTATGTCTGCTCATGTTGGAGCAGGCGAGTTTAAATACCATCCGGCTAGTGGCCTCAGCATTCGGCCATTGGCCTTAGCATCCGGGCATTGGCCTCATTAGGTTGTTCTAAAACACATAGCTGCTAAGCTTTTGGACTTAGTTTATGTCTGCTCATGTTGGAGCAGACGGTTTTAAATATCATCCGGCCATCCGCCTCATTAGGTTGTTCTACTTAAAGGAACAACGCCTTAGCTGCTAAGTTTTTGGACTTAGCTTATATCCTCAAATTTAGCCGACTGTATTGCCTCTGAGCAATATCATGCG